TGCCTTCCACAGCAAATTGACTTGCCAGGAAAAACCTGGTCCAAGAAAAAACTCCTGAGAACACATAGATCTACTTTTCCCACTGCAATTTAGTGGTGCCCAAAGGGCTATTGCAGTCTTCTGTATCACCCTCTCCCCATTACAGCAAATTGACTTGCCAGGAAAAACCCAGTCCAAGAAAAAACTCCAGGTCCTGAGAACACATAGATTTACCTTTCCCACTGCAATGTAGTGGTGCCCAACGGATTATTGCAGTCTTCTCTATCACCCTCTCCCCATCCGGATGTCTGAGGTGGCCGCTGGCACCCATGGTCAGTCCCAACGGTGCCAACCCCGCTCAGCGGGTGGCTGATGAGCTGCTGCCTTCAGTGCCATGTGCTGCGCTAAAGGGGACATGGCAAAGCAAAACAACTGGTGGCAGTGCTGAAAGCTGGACCACCCAGACAGCTTGTTGCAGCAGTCTGTAAGTGGCAATCTACTTCTTAATTATTTCAAAAATCCAGAGGACTTTGTACATTTTCAGTCAGACGTATTTCCAGCATGAGCCTGTTTTGGTAGGGAAATGTCATGACACCTCCGATTCACCGGTGGGAGCAGCAGCCGCCAGCGCCACGCGTGTGCTGGGTGACACCGTAGAGCGCGCGTCCTCGCAGCGTCCTCGTCACCCGTAGCACTGCACCCCTGAAAAAGAGACTCTGAGCTTTAATTGTGTGTGTGTTCCAAAGGTCCAAGCATTAATGGAGAACCAAGAGAAGTTCTGCTCGTGCTGCTCTGCAGTTCTTCATCGCACATAGCCCAAATCCAAGGGTAACGCTTCTCCTCGGTGACCCCCTGCACAGAGAGGTGATGGCAAACAGCGGAGCCAGCAGGTCCAGCCAAACCGCGCTCCTGTAGCGTGTGCGTCGGCACCATAGTGCCCAGCACGGCTCTGCTGCTCCTCTGCGCCTGATCCTCGTTTCATCCTTCCCCCCGAATGGCAGAAGTCCCGTGCTCAGATGCTGGCGGCACCGCTCCCGCGGCAGCTTCACTGCCTCCTGCTCAGAGTAAGCAGCCCACGGCCGGTGCATCCCACAGCCCGCCCCGTGCCAGCCATGTCGGCACCCAGCACCCGCACTGCGAGCGCGGGGACTACAGTGACTCCGGTGGAAATGCAGCCCCAGGCCCTGTGCAGCTCCTTGGACACCCTCTCTCACTATTTCCCAGCTCACGTCTGCGTCCTTGTCTCCAGCTCCTGCCTCGGGCAGCTCCCCAGCGAGGCCATGTCTCGGTGCTGACAGAAGTGACTTCCCTGCACGGTGACAGTCTTCACACTTCTGCACCCAATTTTACTCCAGGTGGTCTTTAGGATGAGTGTGGGGAGGTAAACATGAGACCGTGAATGAGATGGGCAAGCATTTTGTGGCCACGGCAAGCACAGAGATATCATGTCTTATTAATGTTCACACAGTTATTGCCAACACCACAGATCCACCTGTTAAGCAGTCAGCAAACAAGATGAACGGCTGTGCCTTGTTAAACAGACCATTAGGTGCCTCCGGGAAGGAAACCCAAAAGCCACATCTCTGGTGACTCCCGCGGCCCCGCGCAGGCGCGCGCAACGGCTGCGTTTGCACACGCAGCGCCAGCAGCAGCCATGGGAGCCGGGAGCCGCGGTGGCATTAGACGCAGAGGGGTCTGCGCAGAAACACAGCGATGAGACCATTAATGTTTTGTTGCCCTTCAATGTTTGTTTTTTTTTTTTCCTAAAATGTCCCCACCGATATGACCCCGGAATGATATGCAAAATAACACTAAATCCAATTGTCCTTGCGGAAATCCAGTTAGTTCAATCTAATTTATTAAACGAAACTGATTTTATTCTTGTCATGTTTTTGAATGTTTTCTGAACATTTAAAGCAAAAAAAAACATTCTTGCATGGAGAGTAATGAATTCATCAGCATGAACATTTATCACCAAAGCACCAGGATATTTTTCTGGACACTCAGTCTAATCCTGAGCTGCCAAAACCTTCAACCCTCCTCTCTTCATGCCAAACGTATGAGAAATTGCACACAACTCATACACCTGCTCACCCTGATTGCTCACTTAAAACAAGTGGTTGTGCTAATGTAACAATCGCATCCAGGTACACGTCTTACCGATGCGTCAGACTCCAGGGGTGTTCCCGGTCGGCCCGTCTCGGCGCAGCAGCCCTGCTGCCGACGTGATCACGTCTGGAGGGCGTTGGAGCCACCGGCCCCAGCTCCTGTCGCGTCCCACTCGTGGGGATGCGCCAGGCTCCGCGCGGAGAACGCACCACAGCATTGGGACCTCGTTTTCCCTCCAGCACTTGTTAAAGTTGTATTTAATAAGAGGCCTGAGCAATGAGCAAACGCTAACAACCCGCCAAGGAAGGCTTCAAAGTGCTCATCAAATAACCCACCACCGCCGCGCACTTTGGGCTACCTTTGATATTCAAAATCTAGGGAGAATCCAGGCCTTTGATGAGGACAACGAGGAGGTATTTATGTACTTGGGTAAAAATACCACTCATTTTTAAGGCATGCATTATTATTCCAGGGTATTGCCAGACTGGGAGCCGACAGCAAGGGAATTTCCAGGACTTTGTGTAAAGCCTAAGGGGAAGATGCAACCCAGAGCTTCCCCAACCGAAGTGGCTTGGGTGAGGACAGCAAACGGCGTGGGGCTGAGCGCATGTGCACCCCCCCTTGCAGAGGGGGCTAGGAAGTCACAAGAGACAACAACCAACAGTCAAGTGCTATTTCTCGCTCCCTCCCTTGGGTGCTTGCTTTGCTTGGACGCCCGCTCGCAGAGTGGGCCATGCCCCAGTGCCCCTGCGCTTGGCGAGCACTTCAGGTGCTGGTGCGCAGGTTCGTACCGTGGTACTTTGGGAATGTATCGCGGTACTTTGGGAACACTGCGGAAGGAACCCAAAGGCTTCACCAAGCGCCCCAGGCGTGGCTTCAGCAAAGGCCAGGGGCGCCTGGCCCTGCTCGCTCTGCTCCCGCGCCCCGGATGCTCTGTGCCCCACGGATGCTCTGCCACATCCCGCAGCGCAGCCGCACGACCCCTGAGCGCAGCTCCATGAGCCCTGGCGCGCGCAGCCCGGCCATGCTGCCCACAGTGACGACAGCCCAAAGCTCTCATGGCTCTCAGTGAAAAACTGCAGCACAAGCGCGAGGTGGAACCGCTGCTCAGGCCACACCAACGCGCTATCGACTTTTCCGCTTACAGACCAAGCCACCCAGGATGTCTCAGCAGCTGAATCGCTGCAGCACAGGGTCCCTGCACAGGCACAGGTAACCATGGCAATGGTGTCCCCAAGCAGAGGAAAAGAGATGGATTTCATTAATTGCTAGGGGAATTCCAGAGAGAATTTGCAGCTGGTCAAAAAGAAAAGAGAAGAAATTATTTAAAGTCAAGAAACTCCTCAGAAGCCCAAGATTGTTTCAACATTTAAAACACTGGCACACTGATTAATGGTAATTACCTCATCCACAGCACCTTCCACGGGGTGCATATGAAGCCCAAGCCCGGCGTCTGCATCCCTCCTGCACCCACCCTGCTGCACTCCAGGGGCTCCTTGCACACATTCCCAGAAGGTCCATTTTTCATCTTTGTGCACAAGAGAAGCATGTGCTAATACACCTGCTTAGGGCACACTGCAGAGCTTTCCTACCTCCCCAGGGACAGCTCAGGTGCAGCATATGGGAGGTAAGAAATTATTTTCATCTTGTGGCTGTTTTACAGTAATTCCTGGGCAATGAGTTTGGTAGATTTCTATGACGTTCCTTACGAGGAGGTACTAACAGCACAAGCAACATCCAGGTTAACGCCTGCACTAGGCAGCCGTGAGCATGGGCTGTGTCATATCTACTGTCGTCGTTCCTTTTCCAACTGCCCAAATGATTCCTCCAGGTTGTGCTCCAAGCCAGCTGTACAATTTGAAGATTAAGCCCAGGTTCACAGATGAGGAAATGGTTGTATCTCAGCAGACTAATCACTGCGACATGGCCCAGCCCATACGTAATTTCCTCTCTAAATTGCATGCTGCAGTTGCATGTCATTTCGGGTTAAAGCACCAGGGCAATCCTTGAGAAGCTCCATAGGGCAGCAGTAGGAATGGATCTGCTTTTCTTGTATACAGTGTCTTGGAAATTATGGATGTGCTTCATGCTAATACCTTAAAAGCAGTCCCTGAAGCACAGCCAAGTCCCCAATTCTGCTGTGGCGGGTGAAGCGGCACGCTGCATCTCAGGGAGGAAGGTGTTTGAGGAGCCTCCGAGCCCCAGAAAGGGTCTTAGCAGTTGCATTCCCTGCCTTACAGGCTTACTTGCATTTCTGACTAGCGAGACAGAGATTGGGACCAATAAGCCCCTCACTTATGTTTTAGAAACTGTGTTTTTATAGCACCTTATAACCTGATCGTGAAAAAATACTCCATTCCAGGCTAAGACAATGAAAAGAGTATATAAAATAGGGCAATGGAGCAGCTCCAAACTCGAGAACGAAGTACACCTGGATCAAAGTCACAAATCCCGAATCCTAAGCCCACTCCAACTCCCTTTCCAGTTCTCTTCTCAGTTCCTTAAATAATGCATAGCTACTTCACAAAGATACAGTGCAGATTAATTAGCTAATGCTTTAGAGGTCTTCTTGCAGCCATTTAGTGCTAAGTGCTGCCATTATACAGGTAGCCAAGAGCAGCTGGAGCAGGACCATGGCTGAAACCAGCCACAACACAGTTAATGCAGCGAGCAGGGCGGCCTGGGATCTGCCGAGCTCAGGCATCCGGGCAGCCCCGTGACACGTGGATGCCGAGCGGTGCGAGCCGGCGCTCGCTGCGCACAGCTGTGACCGCACTGGGGCCACGCACGGACCCACACCAAGACACGCAGCAGCCCTCACCAGAACTCGGCTACGGTCGCGCACGAGCACTTACTTGCAGACCAGCGTGCAGGAGCCTTGTCTTAGGTCCACCCATGGCCAGGCACGGTACCTGCCCCAGCACCAGCACGCACTGCCGGGAGCGAGCACCGAGAGCGCCCTGCAGAGTGGGGAGCTTCCGGCTCCCTTGTGCGTTCCCACCCAGCTGCTGTCCCCCGACCTCCTGCTCCTGGCCTGGCTCCAAGCACATGCCGGGAGACATCAAGGACAGACAGTCTGGCGGCCGCTTGGACTCTGCTCGCATGCAGACATGATCTGCCGAGACCGTTTCCAGAGGAAACCCTGCCAGAAAGTCACAGTGCTCTAATACAACAGGCCAGTGACACTCAAAATAAATCTGCGTAGTGACAAGAACTGAAGATGAAATATGCAGGAGTTTTCAAGGAGTCACTAATGCAAGAGGTGAATTATGCTGCCCAGTAAGCGCTGCCTAGACGAGAGGAGCCTGGAGCCGCAGCCAGCTGACTGCCCTCAAACCACGTGCTGGAAGAGGAGAGAAAAGTGAGTACTGAGCTGTATACTGGAAAATTTATTACTAAATGCCATGAACATGCATTTGAATGTAAGCGCTGATTACGAATAAATCCACCATATGGCTTTTACAAAGCTGATAAAGCATTTATTTCCCAAATATAGCAAGATCACTCTATGGCAGTCTGTTTTTCCTTTCATAATCTACATCAGAAAATCATTTGCAGTATAGCATGGAATTTGTTAAATTGCTGTCAAATCGCCTGCAGCAGGCCCAGGGTCTGTGCACAGCAGTTATACCTGTGCAGCCCCATCACTGCATCACAACATGGAAATAATCCCTAGGATTTTATTTGGTGGCCTTGATGCAGCCCAGTTGACTGCAGGCGAAGCCACGGACAACTGCCCTCGTGCGTCTCTCCGAGTTCTGGACATGCTCGAGCTCATGGCTCAGACGGTGAGGAGATCAAGTGTGGGTTTGCCTTCACAGTTGCCTGCCCTCCCCCAAAGCCATCTAAAATAGCTCGTTTTCAAGCAAGCCACCAAAGGAAACAGTGGATCTGCTCCGTCAAGACCAGCCACTGTCTTTCTCTCTTGCCCGAGCTGTTGTCATCATGCAGGCAAACCCAGGCATTGCAGCCGGAGCGATGACCGAGGGCACCAACGAGCTACAGAGGACACAGGAGCACTGAGAAACCATGGCTGAACTACCTGCAGTCACAGGCAAGGCAGCTACATGACGGAAATATCCCCTGAGCCTGAGGAAGAAGCTCTTAGCTCTGCCCCAGCTGCCATGGGAGCAGGTTTGAGCACCGGACTGCAGGAGGCCCCTGGCAGATCTGCTCATGCCGGGTGTCTAACTGCAATGGGGAGAAACTTCCTCACCTGGACAAGGGGAGGAAGGAGAGATTTGCTAAGTCTTATGATGACAGGAGGGGAGATCTGCAATTAAAAACATTTTTATTAAAGCTCAGCTAATTTAATCGAGCTTGTTACTAACCGCACGTTCTGGCCTCGGTGGCAGCAGCTGTTCTCACCACCAAGACCTCAGTGTCACCTCAGTGTCCCTGCAGGGAAGGGAGGCATCAGCCACAGAAGCCCAGACAGAGGATGGGCTGAACACAGAAGAAGACATGCTCACCTGGTGTGTGAGGGGTAATCACTCAGCGATGGAATGTGAATGGAACAGTTTCCACATGGGTAGTGCACAGGAAGGACACAAAACAAAAATAAAAAACTCCAGCTTTATGGAAATCAGCTCTTCTGCCATACAGGATCCCCAGAGGGGATCATCCCTGGCCTGCACAGGCAGCCATCCTCACCTTCCTCACGTGCCCAAGAAGGAACCATCGCCGCACTAGGGATCTGCAGGGCCGCAGTGGCCGCAGATTTAATTTTAATTTTTTAATTAAAACTTAACAGAATTCAAATCTCAGCAAACTTGCCTCCTGCTCAATGAACACTCCCATCTCCCATAACAAACTCTACATTGGCCGCAGTGGCCGCAGATTTAATTTTATTTTTTTAATTAAAACTTAACAGAGAATTCAAATCTCAGCAAACTCGCCTCCTGCTCAATGAACACTCCCATTTCCCATAACAAACTACATCCAGAGATGCTCCTGGCTCTTGGGCAGGGAGCTGCTATAAGCAAACCTGGAAGGACAGATGAGCTTGGGAAATTACTGCAAAATTAGTGCAATTAGTGCAAAAAGATACACGTTTCCAACAGTAAATACTGATCTCCAACTCAGGCTTTGCCTGAACCTGGAACTTCCACTTCTTTCTTTTTTTTAAATGTACACAACTACTTTAGCATCTGGCCATAAAATTACAGTAGCAAAACATTTCCCCTGTGACACCAATACAGCAGTGCTTACACAAACAAAGCTTATTTACAGCTACCAGGCACCTTTACGTTGCACCAAGAGGCTGGAACGTGGTTGTTTTGATTCCAACGCTGCAGCTGTAAGTGATGAGACGGGAGCTCAGCCCTCGGCCCAGCTCACACTGACCCCGCTGAGGTCAGAGCCATCGGTGACTCACCAGAAACATGTGCAGGCACTGAGCACGCACTGACTGGTGCCAAGCAGAGGGTCCACTGTAATAATTAGCTCCCGCAAAAGAGAATGAGCAGAAAAGACAGCTATTTCAGGCCAAGAGCAGGACGGAGAGGCACCCCCAGCTCCGGCTGCAGCAGATGAGACAGACCCGGGTAAAGCCAGAGCAGGCACATGCTGTGAGCGGCATCAGGGACACCTGCCTTTGGCATTGAGACCCCCATCTGCTCGATAGCTTCACATCTGGCACCAGAAGCTTTAAAACAAACTTTAAGCAATTCCCAGGTGGCCTGTTCATCATTGGTTTTTGCATTTTCTTTCACAAACTTGGCCTATTCTCAAGATCTCAGTAAGACACACAGTGTAAGGAACACCTGAACTCATTTTCTGTGGTCAACCACAGAGAAATCCGCTGGCTGGAGCACATGAGGAAATAAATATTTCTCTTTTTAACATGTATCACTCAAAAATAGTCCAAAGGCCCAAAGCTTAGCCTAGAGGTGCCCATAAGGTAAAGAGATTAGTTTTAAGGTGCCTCTGGCTGAGCTTTCATGCTAAAAGCCTCTGAAAAGCTAACCCCTAACTTTACAGGCATCTGTGGGGTAAGCTTTAAAATCGGCTCAAATGCAAGTGATTAAACATCATGGCCTTCATCTCCCTCTATGGGTGCCTCCAAAAACTGCCATCTCAAAGGCTGCCAAAAAAAAAAAATTCTTTTCCAGAAAAAAAAAAAAAAGAGAAGAGTTGTAGGCCTAAGAGAAAACACCATAAGAGTTATCTCAGGGATGCCCAAGCACATGAATTGCTACACTCATTAGCAATCTTCCAAACCCAGAGAGCTGTTCATACAAATACTCTGGGAATTTAATATAATTTCTAAATACCTTAATTTTAAAAGAAACTCAGCTTGTTCTTTCATTAACCCTGAAGCCTGTGAGTATCAAGGGATTAGGGAAATAACCGCTCTACTTAAAGGCAGGTTTCATTATTCAGTATGGTTTTCACTAAAACAGTCTTTAATTTTGATCTAAGAGTCAACTACACACTCTGCACCCATGACTTGGCAGCATGCTCGCTGCTTAGCCCAGCATTAATTGAGCAGTGAGCAATATGAACACTTCGTATTCATAAAATTAAATGAATTAAATGATCTAAGAGTTAGTTCTGGACTTCATACACGGCAGCAGAAGCTGGGTGGACATTTTTTGCTCAGCCTTTGCCACGCACTCGTACCGAATACAGACCATGGGATGCACGTGTGTACAAGGTGCTTGTACGTGCACAGAGCTCATCAATGGGGACGGCCATGCACCGGAGCCGTTCGGGGAGGTTTCGGGGAGATTCAGGAGGTTTCAGGGCCCAGCGCCAGCCCCAGGGCTGCCAGGCAGCGCGGCCTCACAGCTGGAAGAGCTCACCGGACACTTCCCCACGCGGGGCCAGGCAGGGCAGCGAGGCCGGCAGCGCCAGCGCGCAGGGCAGGAGCTGCTGCCACCATCCCATGCAGCACCGACCAGCCAGGCCACAGCTCCTCTGCTCTGTGCACATCTGAACCCGCGAGGCAGGTGCCACCCCCAGCAGAACCCCCCGCGGCAGATATCCCGTGGGATCTGCTCCTGGCAGACCCGCTCCAGGGCTATGCAGCAGCGGTAGCGTGGCCCCCGCTCTGCTCCAGCGTCCCTGCAGATGATGCCCGCGGGCTGGCGCAGCTCCCGCGCGGGGACAAGGGCCCGCTGTGCCCACGGCAGGAGGGATGGCAGTGCCTGGCACCCCCGTGCCTGCCGACCCGCTCACAATCGGTGCCTGTGCCGCCGCTGCAGCTGCCGTGTGCGCCCGCACGCCAGGCACAGCCCTAAGGCCTTCAAGGAAATGTCTATTTGCAAATATTAAATATTTCCCCAATTGATGTTTTACTGATTTATTAAACTGCCTTTTCATTTCTCCCGCCCAGCTCTGGTGCGATATGGCTGTATCGGAGCAAGGGATGCTGCGCAGCCCAGCGCACCCCGAGCAGCTCCGCAGCACAGACCAGGACACACTCTGCTCGGGACTGCCCAGTCACATCCACCAGAGCCGCCCTGGGTTCTCTGGGACACCTCAGGGTCCTGCCAGGACCTCGGCCCCCACACGGCTCCTCTGAGGGCGTTCAGCAGCACGCAGCGAGCGTGGCTCTGTGCACAGCGAGCGCATCCAGCTGCATCAACAGGAACTGCTGGTCATGGGGATGCGCATTAACTACCCTTACCCTAGAGGTTAGCTCTGAAAGGCCTGCTGGAAAACCCAGGTCTCCCTGCAGGAAAAAAACGTGGTAAAATGACAACAGTTCACTCTTATTTTAAACTTTCCGAGAGGGTGCCGAGAAAAAGCTTTGTTTTACAAAGTACTTTTAAACTTCAGAAAAAAAAAAAAAAAAAAAGATTTTTTTGAGATAAATTTGGCTATGGGCTCTACCAATAAGTGACAAGATGCACTACTAGATTTAATTGCCTTTGATTATGCAATTTTATCTCCCTAAACTAGCAGCAAACCCATCAAGGATGAGTTACACATTTCTCTCGAGGGACTTTCTCACGGCTTCAAACAGCCCATTTCCTCTGCTGGCCCAGCAGGAGCAAACACTTAGAACTGCTACCGTGGTCCCCGCGCTCCCCGGGCGCGGACA